ACAAGAGGTAGCTGATGTTGAAGACGGCGTGGTCATCATTGACTGTGTGGCAATTTTTTATGAAGAGGGCAAAGGAGGCGAACATTATCGCAACAAGAATAAGTTTAGATGTCGGGTTTCGAGGATTGAAAAACGCCTCGCAAAGTTAAAAGAGAAAATTTGGTAAGTTTGCCTCTCACCAGCGTGGCGTGTGAGACAGTCGAGATAGTTGACCCCTGAGAGACTGACGTGCTAGACTAGACTCACTTATCAAACCTCGCACTAGACGTGCGTGGAAAGGGTTTTGGTTGGTTTGTTTTTCGCGTTTTCAAGAGTTATGTTTATTGGAGTTAATTAGTTGTTGGGTCGAGCTACCAAAAGGTTGAACGAATGTAGTTTACTTTTTACTTTTTGCCGTCAACGATAGTCGTCACATTAATCACATGTGGTTCAATTAGTCGGTCAAACGACACCGCGGTGAGTCAAATTGAACACACGACTTGACTTGTAAAGTACGAGTGGTCTAGCCTGCGAACCGCAGACGCATTTCCGGTCGTCGCTTCTCTCCCGACGACCGGAAATGCGTCTGCGGTTCGCAGGCTACGAGTGGTCCAGTTGCTCTTCAAGTCATAAGCAAGCACGTAAACAATCGAGTGAGGCTTCTTTAATAAAGTATGTGGATTTTTCAATTCTGTCGGTGGAGCGGAAATTCAGTCAATCATAATCCACTTATTCTTTAGGTTTTCTCTCTAAGTGTTCTCTTTTTTAGAATAAAAAGACGGTAAGTCGAGGGCAGCGATTAAAGTTTTTTATTATGTAGGGATGGCTTATTTATTAGAACTTGGAAACAGCGCTAGTGAAATACATTTGTATTCCCTAATTTCACTTGTCAACATTTGATTAAACAAAAACAAATAATCCGTGTCGCACGGATAATACGTCACGGTATTTTAAACATCTTTAAGTGGAAATGGGACGGAGCTCATAAATTTGGCAAATACTCCGTCATAATTGTTCCCTCCTTTGTTTCTCCGTCTATTAACACCGGATTTTGATAATCAGATAAATAGTATAATCAATTGATAATCGTTTTCACACTTAATAAAAGACGGATAAGGTTTTACGGGGTCTTTTAGCCCTGAGCATGACATGATATGTCGCGCGTGCTCAAGCGGAAGGAAGGAAGGTAGGTTGTTCATAAAAGCATTGCTAAGTAATATCTGCTTCGTCTTCGGCGAATATAGATTCAAGGACGCGCTCAAGCGAAAGAAAGGAAGTTTTTTCGTAAAACTTTGCTAAGTAATACTGATCTGCTTCGTTTTGGGCGAATATGTATTCAAGAATAATTTTCAATGGCGTCAATACATTCGAAGTCGGCAGACTGCAAATTATGGTTGTTGTTAAAAAATATATTTACGTGTCGTAACTGTTCATTAGTGGGATGCCTAAAATTAAATGTGTGCAATTCCACAAATGGTTTCGGCTGCATTAGCCTGCGAAAACATCCGTTTCCCCTCGCTCTTCGCCGCTGGGGACGTTTCCCTCTCCTGACAATTTTTATCCGTTAACTTTCTGATTTAAGAAATCGTCAACTTGAATCTCACGTTTACCGTTTGCCGTAAAAGTGAATCTAAATCCTTTTTCTATCAACAAATCATATTTATTCCCGTCAATCGGTTTCTGGCCACTGGAAAGGTCTTTGATAACCCACTTGAAAATGGAAGGGCCTGTCTTCAAAATCACACTTTCACCAACTTAATTGTTTGCGACTTTTTTGTTTTAGCCGGTAAAAAAAAAATTATAAAAACCTTCGACGAGCCAAACTGTCAGCCGGCGGCAATAAATTAAGCAGCGTATTTGAAATTGTTTTGTAATGATAATAAACTGGGAATGCCTCCTTTCTATGCCTAACTTATTATCAATATCTGTTAGTTAACATATGTCGCCGTTTAAGAGGCTTAAGTTATTTAAAAGAAATTGATTGACGGTAACACACGTACACCTGATCCCATTTTCACTGGACCTTTTTCGATTCTGTTCAAAATATTCCTTTGCAAATCAGTGGATTAAAATATATATATATATATATAAAAACGTTCGATGCGCCAAACTGTCAACAGCGGCAATAAATTAAGCAGCGTATTTGACATTTTCTTGTTATGATGATATAAACTGGGGATCGATGCCTCCTTTCTATGCCTAACTTATTATCAATATCTATTAGTTAACATGTCAGTAATAACTTCCTCTAATCGCTTCTGACCACAGGTATGTCGCCGTTTAAGACGCTTAAGTTATTTGAAAGAAATTGATTGACCGTAACACACGTACACCTGATCCCATTTTCACTGGACCGTTTTCAATTCTGTTTAAAATGTTACTTTGTAAATCAGTGGATTAAACAAGAAATTTTAACGTATACTGAGAATTTAAAGTTACTTAAGTTCATACAATTTAATACATCTACTGATTTATTTCCCAGTATGATATTTTCATATTATATATATATGAGTCTATATGAGTCTATTCCAAATTTAACAATTAGTTCATGCGTCAGCGTGCGTATGTCGAGATATTGAGCACGCGGGAAGTTTGGAGAGCACGAAAGAGGCGTAAGAGTTGCACGAGGCGCAGCAGAGTGCAACTCTAGCCTCTTGAGTGCTCTCCAAACTTCCCAAGTGCTCAATATCGCGACATACGCACAGCTGCAGCATGAACTAATTGTTTTATAACATTATCAAAGCGGTCAATGCAACAGTTAACTTAAAATTTTATTATTGTTGGGCGCGCTCAAAGCAGTACGCGTCAATGTTTACGTGACTATATATTTTTTTTCCTCACAGTTAATCTTGTGTTTTTATCCTGAAACTGAGAGAAAGTGTACTCTAAAATGATTGTAAAATCCATATTTAGGTGCCGGAAAACTATTAATTTACCGAAAAATTGCCATTGAGAGAAAACAACTTTGCAAAGAATGATCTCACGCCATAGCCCGCACAGCTCGCGGAGATCACAACAACAACAACACTCACCTCTTTTCACTACTATCGGTTAACAAATTCAAACGTTTCCTCTCAAATTTCCTTATAAAACACATGGTAAACGCGTCATTGTCCATTGCTGAGTTATGGATGCACTCAGGAGATTCATGATTGCTAAGCTCACAACAACTCGAGGAATTACGAATAGTTTATTGACGTCATCAGCGTGCTCAATAGGAATATGAAGCACGCTCGCGCTATTGAATTTGATTAGGCGAATTTTTTAGCTATGTTATAATGGGTATTATTTTTCATTTCAATTAAAGCGCGTTTTTTTAACGTAACTGCTTTTTTTATAACCACTCTTAGTAGTCTGTTAGAAAATTCTCGTGTGTGATACATACTTGGTTGATAAATGTCAATATCCGTAAATAACCTATGTTTGTTAAAAAGCACTCTACTAAACAAAAATAAACAAAATACGAGCTGAAAGTTTGCAAAGGAGCTTATAATTTGACGATGCTAATTCCCTCAGTTAAAGGCACTACAATTTTCTTTCACAATGGCGACTGAAAAATTGATACAATTTCTGGCATTTTTTCAGGCTAAGTTTATTCGTACAAAATAAAAGTTAACCGACTTTTCGCTCTTAACAAACTAGCTGCGGTTTTGCTTTGCAACGTAGGATGATGAAACGCTTCGGGAACACATCTTAATTATCCGAACTAACCTATAAGTTGTAGCCATGAAATGTGCTAACAGCAGTAGTATCCTTATTTAACCCGGCCGGTGAAATTTGTCGATTTATTTATTGTATTTCCTTCCTGCATCAAGTATAATCGATTTTTACCTGAAACTATTGTAACTAGTTATCTTATCGTGCTTAGGTCATTGCATCACTGCCTATCACAGACTGGCAAAATTTGATTTAATTGACAGTCCACCCTTCACTCAGTCTTCCCATGAGGGCGGACGCCTGTTACAAGAGACACTTAGTAACGGTCTACCAACCACATACTAACACTGCATTATAATTTTATCTGATCCCAACTCTCGATTTTTTCCAACAAACCTAACTGAAACTACTTCGGCTGAATTAAGAGACGTTCTTTTAATTTCTTCGTTATAGACTGAAGCTACAGACAGCCTGAAGCGACGTAAGACATATTAATTGTTCAAATTGCAATGGTCCTTGCAAAAGTCGGTATTGGTTTATCATTTGTCTTCTAGCTGGCTCTCTGTAAAGGAAGGACCTCATCCGACTAATAACCGCTTTTATCTATGCGAATTTCGCAATGTTTTCTTTAATCACCATTGTGTTTTAATTTGTCATTTAACAGTTGCAAAGTGCTGAATTTACGGGGGCTGTTGTCTCCATCGAGTTCCGGATAAAAATTAATGAAGTTAGGCGTACTGTCCCTAGCTTTAAGTTGCTTAAAGACTCCAAAGTTTATGATATACTATTCCGCAAATCGTCTACGATACAGTCGTTTTGCGATTTTTATAAACTACAGTCACTGTGTTTTCAAGCCAAAAAGGCGTCTATACCCAGTGCACTTCTTTATGTGGACTTTTTGTGTACAAAAAAGGAAATCTTTGAAGCGTATAGATTGGAAATTTTGAGGTTACGGGAACAACAAAGACGAGTTTTCAGAGGGTCGAAAAAGAGCGGAAATCTGTCTTCTTGTCCCATAAATTCTTTAAGTATTCCTCACGGCTAAGAAAAAGTACGGTAACAGTATAAATAAAGGGCGATAACTTTCAAAGAGTTATGGTGATAGATTGGTTCGGTTTAAAACAGCTAACATTTCCCCAAGCGAGATAGTTATGGCGGACGTGAAAACTCTTTTCGCAGTGAGTAGATTATTTTAATGCTACTTGTTTCTTTTGATTATGAACCTTTACAGACTTTTCCTTTGTAACTAAAAAACTGAGTTTCATATTAAAAAAGGGATGAAATTTTAGTAGTTAAACGAACAGGCGGTAGAATTTGTTTATCATAATCTTACAACAATAATATTAACATGACCTTTTTTTCTGCAGGTTATTCTTGCATTTCTGTTTGCTTTCGAAGTAAACACCCTAGGTCTGGTCTTTAATAGAGGTTCTTGCTCCAACGGGATTGGTCGTTATTTGGAGATAAAAAAATGTAATGGAACGTCGTGTTCTGCAGGAATCTCCGGACGAAGCTGTAATCCCTCAAAAACAAGTAGGTTGTTTTTTATACCCCGTGTTTTTTCTCTCAGTTTTTAAGTTACTTCAAAATTTGTGAGCACTGAATCGAAAAAAAAAAGGTGTGATCATTAAATATAGTGCAGTGTATTCGAATTTTTTTGTGATATTTGTATGTACTGCTGTTAAATGACCAATGTTTCTGACACCCACATTTTTATAAAAGCGGCGGTAATCCGTTTTTCGGCTTTCTAAAGAGAGTCTGAAATGTTATACATCTCTTCACATCATCCCTAAATGGGCGGCAGGGCGAGAGAATAAGAAGAGAAGAATAAGAATGGCAAGTAGAAAGTAAACAGATCTAATTGGTAGATACTTTAGATAACCTTATTTACAAACGTTCAAAAGAATGGTATAAACTTCGAAGGTATCCTAGCTTCTTGCATGATACAACTTGATCATAGCGGCACAAAAATAGACTTAGTTGCGAGTTTATAGATGTCAGTGAGCCGGACATTGCTTATTGTACTAAGAAAATGTTTGCGATTTTTCGCTTTTTTCATCTCCATTCAGTTTTTGTAGGTCAGTTCACCTTGTTGGAGACATACATTGTTAGGCGACCGGTCGGTCAAATATTAGGGACTTTAAGATCCAACGACGCGACGGCGACAAGAACGTCGCTTAAAAAGTGAATTTGCGTTCTTTCAGTCTCTATATTGATTATTCCTACCCACTTACTTTGTCAATTGTAGGCGAACCCTCCTGACGCTGAATTTCAAGAGACCATATTCAAGCTCAGAAAGAGAAATAAAATTTCGTCGTTGCTTGTTTACGTCCTCCATAAAACGGGAAATTAGGCATTTTCACGTCGTAGTCGTGCAAAAACGGGAAAGAAATGTACAAAAAATTGTGATGCACGTGCGAAGTCGTTGTTTTGCTAATTAAACCTATTGTTTTTTTGACGTTCTTGTTGTCGTCCGCGTCGTTGGATCTTAAAGTCCCTATTATTCCCTCACCAAACTGAAATAACTCCGTGTTTGAGTGTGCATCTTGGTTGACCGTGATCGAAGCTTTTGGCATAATAAAAAGTGTGATGCACAGGCGAATACGACGTAATTCATAATATATATATATATATATATATATATATATATATATATATATATATATATATTTATATATATATATATATATATATATATATATATATATATATATATATATATATATATATATATATATATATATATATATATATATATATATATATATATATATATATATATATATATTTTAACTTTACTACTTTATTACTATTCTTTGATTTCTATTTTTCCAGGTTTCAATATTATAAACGCTCCTGCTACTGGAGGAACGACTCGGAAGTGTATTCAATTTACTAGTAATAGTGTTAGTTACGCCCTCAAAGTCATTGGAACTAATCCTCCTACTCTACAGTTCATGGTGAGTGCACAGTCCATTCATGCATGGGAGCTTAAACTCATAATACGGCCGGAATTTTATTCGAAAGTGGACTCAGATCTGTAACAGTTAACATTAAGTGGACTAACGTTTACGCAGCAGTGTGTAATCAAAGGGTGGGCGAGAATTCAACGGAATTTTTCACTTTTATTTATATATTTCTATTGTGGGTCCATAGACTAAAAAGTATTCTGCCAGAGATCGTCCTCGTACTATCCAGAAATCATTTTCTTTCGCTTTAGCGAATGATTAAATGAGTTTAAAAGGTTGAAAAGCATTGGAAAGCACTTTCCATAAGCTATATATGAAACCATTATATAAAATGCTAGAATTATAGAGTGTATATCAACTGTACGTCAAAGAAATACATTGTATAATAATTCTCAACTTAGACGGACTTATTAGCAACGTTCATTATGTCAACTTTAAGTCTTTTTATTTCAACCTAGAGATTCTTAGACCATAGAACCAAACGTAAGTCAGCTTACTACTAACAAAAACAATGCTCCAAACCAACAAACAACTAGTCAAAAAAAAAAAAACAACAACAACAACAACAACAACAACTAGTCTTCTGCCTCGCGGGGGGGGAAAGGGGTACTGCCATATATGGGCTATATAGGTTTGTGTCGCTGTGAAGGGCATGGTTTTCAAGCAGTTTACTGTAGGATAGGGTATATAAATCAGAGCGTTTGGGTCTAGAATAGGGTATCATTTTTCAGGAAACTGACCAGTTGAAGATTTTACCTAGACAAGGGAAACAGCTACTCTAGGATAGGGAGGATTCGGGGAGTTTACTCTGGTATAGGGTAGCAAATTTCAGCTGAGCTAGCTCTGGTATAGTACTCTCCCCCCGGGTCTGCTGCACAGCCGTTATAAGCATGTCGGGCCCATGTCGCCACGCAACGCACCTCGGTTGGAGCGAGGAGCGTTGCGTGCCTAAGGCTCGAAATATGAGCATCGGCGATCATCGGCATTGTTGCGTAACATTCAAACTATAAGGATTTGTATGGGAAAAAAAAACCTATCGTTCCTGTAACCTATGAAAATGAAAGGACGTCAATAAAAAACAGCTTACCATACTTAAAATGTGTGTTACGTCTCTCCTGTGAGGTCCACGGGCCATGGGTTTTTATGTTAACGGTTTTCTGATATAAAGGAGAAAACCGTTAACATAAAAACCCATAAAACCGCCATAAAATAAATTTTTTGAAATCCTTTCATTTTCGTAGGTTACAGAAACGATAGGTTTTTTTCCCATACAAATCCTTACATTTTGAATGTTACGCAACAATGCCGATGCTCGCCGATGCTCATATTTCGAGCTTGGGTGACAACAACCACACAAAAGTAGTCTAAGGGGCCGTCGACATATTCACTTTTCCTCCGCTTAGGACGTCAGTGTGGGGCATTTTCATAAATTTTACGTCATGTGTCGAACGGCGCTCGTGACATTATTTAAGAAGGACCAATTAAAGAAGTGAATGTCAATTGTGATCTTTAAAACTCTCCTCTTAACTACTAGCAAATTGTACGTTTTACTTTGTGATCTTTAAAACTCTATCCTAAAGTATGAAGTTTCTACCACGTTTTAAAAGCAGTAAATCGAGTGTTGATACCATTGACATCTCTTGCATCTTCAAATGGATGTCGGTATTCCTTCTGGAATGCAGTGACTTTTGGGCAGCAAATTTTCGAAAGATTGTTTTTGATTAGCTGGGAAAACAATAGGGATTGTCACATAACAACGTCCCTATCCCTGAAAACAATGGAGGTGCAGATTAAAGGGGACCAGTGAAATAAGAGGTTTAAAACGGTGCAGGTCTACTGAAAATTTAAAGTGGACATTAACGAGGAGGGGGTGTTGGGAATGGCGGGGATCTGACCTAAACGTCCAGTTGACGTTAAGCGGAGAAAAAGTGAATATGTTGACGGCCCCTAACTGGAAGAGGATAATCGAAGTCTCTTTAGTGACATATAAACTATCCTTTAAATTTGCAGAAACAGCCACAATGTGATCAAACGACCAAGGTCGACAATGCGTATCTGTTCGAGGAGAAGCCGATATCAAGTGGCTCAGTCTATATGGCCTATATCTATACACACAATAATACACGAATGTGCCTGTCCCGTGTCTGTGATGATCCAACACTAATTCTTAAACCTAATATTACAGCCGGTCCGCAAGGCGAACTAGATAGGATGTGTTCTTTTAGACGCAAAAACTGTTAACAAAAATCATGAAAGATTGTTTTTTATTTTATATTTTTTGCTCACTTACATAATTATGTTGTACTGTAATGGCACATGCCAAGCGTTAAAAATGATGTTTGTGTTGTAATATTGGTAATGTCATTATCAGGAGTACAATATGCACAGAATAAAGATATCTCAGATCTAGAGCATGATTGTTTAATAATAATCAACCTACAATCAATACAAAATTATGAAGTAGTTGAGTATAAATTTAGCAAGTCATCCTCTGACAAAATCCACGCTGTGGATTCCAGCTCAGGATAACAAGCAAGTAGTTGCCCAGGGCAAAAATGTGAGAAAATGTGCAAGAGTGAATATTTGAGAAAATATGTAGACTGCGAGCAGTCTCTCTTTCTTCTTCAGGGCCTCAGCTTCTGAAAGGCCGATTAAAATTTTTTTCCACTTTTTGTATTTACCTCTGTAACCAGGAGGCCATAACCCGGAGAGGGCAATTCTCATGTTGTCGTGTCACGGCGTTTTCACTGACCAGTTTATTTGAAGAACGATCTTTGCACGAATTAAGAATATCTTTCATGTCCCACAAACCAGTCATTAAACTAAAACCGCTAGAAATGGCATTTTTGACCTGTTAATGGCGGTTCATTTCCTTTGTCGCTCTTTATATTTACAGTATAATGCGCTTATGAACGGAACGGAGCTTTCATTTTCGCGATAAAACGTGCTGTAAAATGCATCTAAAAATTAATAGTCCAGTCTGTGAAAACGCCGTGACATAGGCCTAGTATGAAACTTGCACGCTTCGGTCTATGGTCTCCTATATAAGCCAGTGTAAACTCCCAACAGTCAGTTTTGTAAACTTGAGTCAAATGTTCTTAGACAAGAAAACCGTGCTTAAAATTTGGCTTAATCTTGGATTAATCTTAACCATCTTTCGAGGAAACGGGGCCTAGAGATTTAGTGAGGGGAGCGCAAGCGCGTGGTCATTTTCGTGTCTCGCGCGTTTCGCTCAACGGACTAAGAAAGAAAAGTTGCTCGTAGTCTAGAAAATGGGCAAAATCTGAGAGCCCCTTGCCCAAAGGATGTGCTGGAATTTAATTAGAGACCTTTAGATTTGAGGACGAGAACGAGAACAAGTTGCGCATGTACTTGAAAAAAAGAAACCTTGGAAAGCTTCCTTTCTCTCTCTTTCTCTCTCTCTTTTTTTTTTTTTGTTTGTTTCCACCAATTAAGTTAGCACGGTTATTTATACTGAAGGAGAATAAGCCCTCTCCCGATAGCAAAATGTTAAAACTTCTCACATTTGATAGCTTGTTCCCGTCACTACGACATTCTCGCTAAACCTCGTATGGAGGCTAGCACGTTTTACCGCCAAAATGACGCTGGTTTACGCGTGAGCAATAATCTGAGAAAATCTCGTACTTGTAGTCGTCACCGAATCTCAGAATCTAAAGCTCTTTATTGTTTGTAAGCCCGGAAAAAAGAAAACCTGGGACCAGGCTCCGCAGTGGGGGAAAAACTTGGTCAAATAGGAAAAATATCGGAGAGCGAAGCCAGCCAAACGGTGGCCTGGGGAGGGTGACGGGCGGCCACTACCCTGTCCCTCCTCCCCCGCAGATGTTCTTTAGGTTCAACGCGCGTTCCTGTCCCGTGGGACCTCTGCATAGAATCAGTTTTTTCAAGACTAACCTTTCCCCTCTCCAGACTACCCTCTGCTATTTTTATTATTATTGTTTTTTTTGCCATGTCCACGCCGTTTTTTTTTCTCCTTTTTCCCCGATGCGGAGGCTGGTCCCTGCCAAAAAATAAGAACGATTTAAGAATAAATGTGAGGCTGTTGAGATTTTGAAAAGGATACATTTTTTGGGTTTAAAACCTGTATTTTACACACTACATGTACACTGATAAGTTTTTAACTTAACTGGACTCGGATTACCCGTTGACTTAATAAACTTACAAATGGAAGCAAATTCGGAAAAGACGTCTGCCTATTAAAAACACAGAACGGGATTTTCTTTGGGCAAAAAATCCTTTATATTTCATATCCTTCAGTTTATCCGGCTATTAACAGCACGGGTTTTGATAGTAAATCGACCTCAAATTAAGAAAGACAGATATGGTGTCTAAAGTGAAAACGGTCAGTGTTACGGATTATCTAGCCGAAGAACGAGGAGAAACGGCTGTTTTCGCGGGCCACTATAGGGATTATCGCGGTAAAACCACAAGTTAACCAGAGCATGACATAAAACTTTTCACCTTATTAAGCGGAAGTGGAGGAAGATGTTTACATCACCAACATGTATGTACTTAAAAAATTAAACACTGGGTGACTAGCTGTTTGTCATTGGCGATATAATATTGATAAAGCTTGACACCTTGAAAGGAAAGCACTTGAGGCAGTTAATCATAAGAAAACCCTTTCACTCCAAGGCGAAATTTTTAGGTATGTGCCGCCCCAAAGAGTAGGATTTTGTGCGCCGTTTTGGTCTGAAAACGGTGTAGACTTTGCCCATTTTGGTCTGGAATCGGGTTTTTGAGGGAATACGGGAGTGTATGAACGTATTTTTCGTTTCAATTCCAAATGAGTAAGAAAGAGAAATAAGCGAATTGGAAATGAAATTTAAGAAATCTCTTTTGTTGCTGTTCTAATCTAAGCAATGATGACATAATTCCTTAGATGCCAGGTCTGAAAACGGGCATGGGATTTCAGGGATTTTAAAGGCCAGGTCTGAAAACGGGTGTGAAAAAGACACTATACTTACATGGACTGAAACAGGGTCAGGATTTGGAGAACCGGGCGATACACCCGCACCAAGGATTCCACCAAGGATTCCCAGGAGAAGCCCCCAGGGTTAACCTCAAAGGTAACCGCTCAAAGTTGTTCTTCTTGTATTGCAAACTGTATTCGCCGTAGGTTTCTGATTACTCAGATTTTTTGCAGTAAAACTTTGGGCAAGAATACCCTTGCAGACAGGAGATAGTCCGCCGGCACTCTTCCTCTATTTGGGCGTCAACTTTCACCTTAAAATGCGTTGCATTTGTCAATTTAACCTTAAAATGCGTTGCAATTTAAGGTTAAATTTGACCAGCATTGTTTGTAGTGATTTCTACGTACGGTCACGATTGTCTTCAAACTTGCACATATCAAACAAGAGAGCTCTGAGGCTTATTTGCTGAATTTAGAGAAATCTGTCGTAGGGTTTCGAAGTGATTGGTATTTTTTGTAAACGTACTGTTTTTAAATACATGCCGACACCTCACACGTTTTTATTCTCACAAT